ATGTGTAACAACCTAATAGTAACTAGAGCATGTCCGATTGGTCAGGAAATGATTTGGAAGAAAAAAGTAGAAGTTGCAATTGCTCATTAAATAAAAAGAGAAAAGAATAAAAAGCATAACATTGTAGGAACGGTGATGAAATGTTGTAGGTTCAACCATTTTCCAAATTCTGCATCCTAATTTGTTTTGAATACTTTTGCATACACACCACCATACGAGGTTGCTGTTATTGTTTTCCCTTGGGGCAAGACCTTTGAAAGACCACCATACATAACCATTAATTTTTTTAGGTCACAGTGGAGGTTTTGGGTATTGTTTTGGCGATTCACTAGCATTTAACCACTGGCTTACTCTCTTACTGTTGTCAAAGAGTATCTATTTCTCATCGCATGTAATGATTCAATGCAAAAATAGTTCTTTTTTCCTAATTTGTGCTCATATATTAAGATTACTCGACATTGTTTTATTTTAATCATTTTCATTGGGATTATGAGTAACAATATATTGAAAGGAAAATTATCTGAAAAACAAAAAAAGTTAGAAATAAGTCAATATATTTTTATACTGAGGAGGTTACTAGTAATTATTAGGTTGAACTGTAGCAAAGAGTATCTAGAATTAGTTTATCATCTCTTCTTGTTACGGTTTTTTTGGTATATAACACATAACTAGAGAGCGAGTCAGAATGACTTATTTCCCTTTATAGTCGACCAATAGAAGGTTGACCAATCAGAAGCCGCCCAACACTGTATTCATCGTGTATAAAGGCGGCCATCTTGTTTCGTCTACCGGAAGGACCAAAGGCGACCAGGAGAAGGATGAACTACACTCTGCTGTGATATCCACTGCGAACCTAAAGTACGCTTTCCTACTGTCTCCGAAATATTCACTGCCAACCTCTAGATTCAATACTCAAGGACGACCGCCATAGAAATGTCTAACACTTCTATCCAAGAGTGTACCGTTTCAGGGTTTCATTTGGAATAATTCAAATAGAGAATTTCGGTTCCTTATGATTTTTCGCTTGAGGAACAAACGTAACATCTCACCATTTGTGGCACTCTTTTCACCAGTAATGCCAACCTTGCATTTTCGCATCGTATTGTTACAGATAATGGGTAGCCTATCGGTTATCGGCGTGAAAAAAATGAAATACACGTGTCTATTGCGTTCACTTTGACCTTATGACCTTAGGAAAAGCATTTCTCCTCTCCTCTTCCCCTCCGGCTATGAGTTGAATAACAGGACAGGGCAGACTCTCAGGCTTTACTAAGTAGTCAGTCTAGAAGGTAAACACTGATTTTGAAACCGTAAAGAAAGAAATTCACCTCAACAACATATGGTAATTAACAGATATCAACGAAAAAGGAAGCTGTGAAGAGACTTGACCGCTTATATTCTTAAATGAGATAGCATTTAAGAAAAAAACGATTAGTACAGTCAAGCACAAGGCTACAAATTTGGGTCACCCAGTGAGGATCGTACTCACAATTTTAGTAATGGCCTGAGAGGCTAAAGGTGTCATCTAGAAGTTTTGCTGTGATTTTAGGATTTGTGGATAGTGTAACGGATATCGGCATGGAAAGTGCAATCGGCGATCCGCGTTCAAATTCCGGCCTCGTCAGTTGCAGTCATTTTTCGTACCCTTGGGGAAGGTAAGAATCGGTTTCTTCACCTCGCACGGTTAATGATCACAACAGTCAGAGTCCTTCAGTATTGCGTGGCTGTTACTCTCGAAGACGGACAATTCTGAATGCAAAAGTGAAATGCGCTCCGTCAGTATCACTGTCTTGATGGTTGCACATTCAACTTTTTACGACATTCGTGAACATGATCGTGATCTTAAACATGAAAGACACTGCTTGTCTAGACAGATTTCAATATAGATTTTCAAATTTCCGAAAATTCCCCAATAATGAATTAAACCAACACTGGAATAATTCCTTTTTGATAGGCAATTTCATTTGGGCTTAAAATCGCTGAAAACAAGGAAAATACTTTTACGACAAAATAACTATGTTTAAAATTCATGCGAATAATAAAATATTTTATTAAAAACTTTACATCGATTTAACTATGTATATATAAATAAAAAGAAAGAACAGTAAGATATATAATCCAGTGTTCTTATAGATATTTTTATTTTAAAAAAATAGTGCTCAATGTAAATTTACAGAGCATTAATATTATAAATTAATTTATTTAAAATAGGGTTTTTAGTTACACAGTTCTAACCATGTTTCAAAAATGGAAGCTGAAAGCTCCGAATTTAATTTTGTAATTAAACTAAAGACATTAGTTCCATTTCATCCTCAAGCGAATTTTTCGCTTGAGGATGAAATGGAACAAAATTACAAAATTAAATTCGGAGCTTTCAGCTTCCATTTTTGAAACATGGTTAGAACTGTGTAACGAAAAAAAACATATTTTAAATCAATTAATTTATAACATCACTTTAACTATAGACGTTTTGTCGCTGTGCAAATACTAGCTAGCCAGTCTCCACAACAATTATATTGTTCTAATCCCAAGAGGTGCTCCGTGGTTGTTACCTTGTATCAGTTTAACATAACTTAAAACAAATTACTGAAGTTTTTAATTGATTATAAAACATTTCAGTTACCAGGAAAGAGAAAGTTTTGAATCAAAAATTTTAATTGGAAATTTTAAAATGGAATATTAGATTTCAAATCTAGTTCATTTTTTCATTAAAAAAATTAATTACAGTTTTTTCATTTAAATTTTGGCTCCAGGAAGAATATTTTAATGAGTTGGCATTCATTAACGCTAAAAGTTTATTTCGTAAAACGCAAGCAAAATTTTTTATAAGGTAAAAATAAACATTTCGAAAATAAAGACATTTACAATGCATTCGAAAGTATCAAATAAAGTGTCTTCCTGAAAACTTTCATTAAAATTTAAATTTTGTTGAGTTTTTCTAATTATCCAAACAATATATGACCTTTTCTCTTACTGTTAGGTTTGTGGAACTGTGTCGGTAAAAATATTAATTTCTAGGAAATAACTTTTTTTAATAAAATTTGTTTTTGAAAATTTGAGTCGTTTGATGGATGTATATTTTCTAAAATATTCTAACCATTATCATCATAAGCCCCTATTCCTATAGAAAGTAGCCAATCAGGGATCTAATTAGATTCTTGTTTCTAGGCAAAATCTGACTCCTTAAAATTGTTTCTTGTCTCTGCTTTGTCATTTATTCATACAAATTCCTTAGATAAGTTACTAATTTCCTATACCCTCTTTCCTCAGTATTGCGCTTTCAAGACCGCTCTTCCTCAGAATTTATGCAAGATATTTCAACACACTCTTTCTGATTTTAAGTTTTTTCTTTAGAACCATTCTATTCTTATAATGCTGTTCGCAGAGAACATCACGGAGCAATACTAGATTCTATAACCCAAAAGAAAGCGAAGAAAATAAAAGCCAATAGAACCCGTAATAAAATATTGTAATTGCAGATATAAAGAAAATAAATATATATATAATATAAATATATATATATATATATATATATATATATATATATATATATATATATATATATATATATATATATAGTAAAGATGAAAATATTGAACCGTCATTTTCAATTGGGTCGTGCCTTTGCTATGATTAAACGCAGTATGAACAAAAAAAATCACCTTTACAATAGGGTCGGCACACTTACTGTGTTAGAAGAAGTAGCGATTTACCAAGCGTAACTTAGATGTGGCACAAGGCCGAAAGTATGGAGCACCCAGTGAGGAAAGAACTCACTACTCATTCGTAATCGTGCTAGCGAGACAAGCTTGCTAACCATTACACCGCCTCAGGGTGCCCCTTAGATTTTCCAAGCGTAGCTTAGATGTGGCATAAAGCCGAAAGCACGGGGCATCCAATGAGAATCGAACTCACTTTTCAGTAGTAACTGACCTCTCTGTTAGAAGAAGTAGATCAGAAAATTTGATTCTTTTGTTTTTTTACGGCCTACCAACCTGTTGTAGGTTATTTAAAGCCAGAAAATACATCTGGATGGTAAGACTTTTTTTTTAGCTAACGATTTACTAATACAAGTTCTATTAATTAACCCACACCTGGGGGAGAAGAGGAGAATTCACATCATTCCCAAGGGTATTTGTGCGAAAAGTGAATATAAGGAACACAAGCAGAATTCGAACTCGACTCTCATATGTCCGATTCCAAGCCGTTATCCATTGAAATATGCAAGCTTAAAGCACCTGGTATTCCAAGCGATCACTCATCTAGGGACCAACTAGGATCGAAGTAGCTCAACTACGGTGATAGTACGGGAACCTGTATTTCAAAGCTTACAGCCATGCTACTCGGGCATCCAAGATTACAGTAGCTGGTATTCCTAAGCTGTCATCCATCTAGGTACTGATCAGGCTCGACGTTGCTTAACTACGGTGATAGTACGCCAACCGGCGTTTCAACATGATATGTCCGTAAGCCATCCCACTTGCACGTCCAAGCTTACAGCCCCTGGTATTCTTAAGCGGTCACCCATCTAGGTACTGATCAGGCTCGACGTTGCTTAACTGCGGTGATAGTACGCCAACCGGCGTTTCAACATGATATGTCTGTAAGCCATCCTACTTTAACGTCCAAAGTTACAGCCCCTGGTATTCTTGTAAGCGGTCACAACGGCGACGTTGCTTAACAGATAGTACGCCAACCGGCGTTTCCTGGTATCCCACTCTCCAAGCTTACAGCCCCTGGTATTCTTAAGCGGTCACCCATCTAGGTACTGATCAGGCTCGACGTTGCTTAACTACGGTGATAGTACCCGAACTGGCGTTTCAACATGATATGTCTGTAAGCCATCCTACTCGCACGTCCAAGCTTACAGCCCCTGGTATTCTTAAGCGGTCACCCATCTAGGTACTGATCAGGCTCGACGTTGCTTAACTACGGTGATAGTACCCGAACTGGCGTTTCAACATGATATGTCTGTAAGCCATCCTACTCGCACGTCCAAGCTTACAGCCCCTGGTATTCTTAAGCAGTCACCCATCTAGGTACTGAGCAGGCTCGACGTTGCTTAACTACGGTGATAGTACGCGAATCGGCGTTTCAACATGATATGTCTGTAAGCCATCCTACTTGCACATCCAAGCTTACAGCCCCTGTTATTCTTAAGGGGTCACCCAATCTAGGTACTGAGCAGGCTCGTCTGGCGTTTCCACGTGATATAGTCTTAAGCCTAGAGCAGAAGAGAAAACCTCTTAATGGAATAAGATTTGCATGAGAAAGTATGCAGAAAGAATTCGCTAAAAATCTAAGAGTATAAACGAATCTATTAATAGATTCCATTTGAATATTAATCACTATGTTTATCAATATCTCAGATGAAACTGCATTTTTTTAATCATTTAACCCCAATCAAAGCCATTAATCCAGTAAGATCCATGGGTTTACTGCGAGTGAAAAAGAATGAAAAAATTTTAGAAAGTTCAGAATGACAGAAGATAGCGATTGTCGTTCCATTTAAACTGTACTTGACGAGAAGTCCGGGAAAAGAAATATGGATGCATCTAGCTAGTTTTACAGTAAAGCTGCGAGACCTAATATCCACTGCAGTAGGACAGTTAAATTCATTTAGTCGAGGCACCAAGAAAGAAAGCTTATCAGAACAATAGCCATGAAAATATTTATAGAAAAGACAGAGTGAAGCCACGTCACGTCGGTGAGAAAATGACTGAAGTCGAGATACCAGGTCAGAATCGATTACATTAAGAATCTTGAGCATCAATTCAGATGTGACAGCAATATTCGATAAACGGACGAATGGTAGATTTAAAAATGTGCAAGATGGATTCTGCCGAGAATAATTACCAGGCACGACATAGTGGATCAACTTTCCTAGCGATAGACTAAGCAACTGCTTCAATAGAATCACTTCACTTCATGTCAGTGGAAAACGTGATCACAAGAAGACGCAATGAGCTTCCCTTTTGGAGGTTAGCATCAGCCATGATGATAGTAGACAGAAAAGTTTCTCTGTAGTGTTTAAATGAAAGCGGTTTCGTTTTGGACGTCTTAAAATTTACTAGCCATTCCTCACAAAACAAAATTTTTAACATATAAATTTGCTCTTACGTTAACAATAGATCTATAGATTTAATAACATTTCTCGAACATTCAGGTCGAGTAACAGAAATAAATAAATATATATATATTTTTTAAATAAATGGAGCGTCTACTTAAATACGAGTATCCACTAAAAATAACGTTTAAAGTGATGAAAATTCTGTTGGATTAATAAAAATCTTGCCTTAGAAAAATTCGTTTTGTTTGCGTTTGGATACGAAACAGTGTAGATATGAAATATTTCAGGAGATCTATGACGAGAGATGTTTCGCTTAAAGGAACAATTGGAAGGTTCAAATGTGGCCGGAGAGCGTACATTTTTTTAAGAAGATCTCTTGAACGTCGACTCAAATAGGGGTATACACTAAAAATAACTTTTAAAATGATAACGCTCATCTTAGAGACTATAGGCTAGTATAATGGGCTCAATGTTGACCGCTTACCCCATTACTCTAGCCTTATGCCAGACTAGGGCGAAATTTTTTTTTTTTAGTGCTATTACCTTTCAGGATGTGGGCAATCATATCTTTTCATTTATTCCATTTCTTATCTGTGACTTGCCATGAATTCTTCGGAAGATAGTGAAGTGGTTTCCCATTGTCTTTCTTCTGTTTGGAATTCAATATATTTCTCAGCGTAGTTGCCACCCATGGGCAGAGATCCCAATCTACACTGATATTTAAACCAGAGATAAAATATGTATTGATGCCTTCCTCGAGAAAAGGTTTTCTGGTATTTTTGGACTCAGTGAAACGGTTCTACATTAGACATCACTTATACAACTTATGTATATTTAAATTTCAAATGAGACGCTCCAAAAATTCCAGAATGTTGCTGATTCGTACTGGTCAACAATAATGACCATATTTAGTTTGTTGATAATGATTGAAACGATCAAAAGTCCTTAAACAAAACCATGAACTTTGTTTACCCACAATTTCGATACGAATATACAGTAATTTATGTGGACTTTGGAAAAATACACGTAAAAATTAAGCAGACAGATCCCTTGTGGGATAAATTGAATAAATCTTGTTGAAATGAACTTTTGCTGCCGAACAATGCATTGTAAAGGATGCGATGGGTAAATTGTCGCCATTTTATATTTTTAATTTCGTGCATTTTGCCGACGGCACAATTTAGTAGGGTCAGTTGGGTACCGTCTGTGAGAAGAAAAAAAAACGTCATTTCGCCAGAAATTTAGAACTGACATGATTTACTGCTTGGCATTCGCGTTGAAAGCTCCAGTACGAACATTTCAGGTTCTTTGAGTGTCAATCTGAGGAGAGTGCAAAGGATTCGGAAAGACTTGGACGAGTCTAATGGTGATTACGAAGGTACAGCACTCACTCTGGTCGTTTTGACAAGAAAAGAATTCCAGAATTTGTTGGTGAGGGCCTCAGACTCAACACGGAGGCCTACATAAAGTGCCTCGAGGAAGTAGTGACGCCCTGGGTCAAATGGGTGGCTGCTGGAAGATCCTGTCTGGCAACAGGATTTTTCACCATACCAAACAAGCATGGGAACCCAGTCATGGCCATCAGACAATTGCTGCGACCACATAACCCCTTACATCTGGTCACCTAACTTCACAGACTGCAACCCTCTTGATTATTATGTGTTGGGCGCAGTAAGGCTACAGACCAACAAAACTCATTTTAACACCAAAGATGAATTGAAAGCAAGGATTATGGCAGCATTCAGTAACTTAAACAAGGAGACCGTTCAGAAGAGTTGCAGGGGATTCCGAAGTCGTCTAGAATCCGTGGTTGAGGCGAATGGCGATTTTATTGAATAAATTTACTCCTTAGTATTTCAAGATATTTTTGTGTAATTTTGGCAAAGATATCTGCTAAAATAAGATGTCACTTTTATTTTCATTTTTGCATAAGTTAGATGACAATTTATCCATCGCACACTCTATGTATGTATGTTGTATGCACTGGAGCATAGAGCGAGTTTTTATGAGTTTTTACGCAAAGAACAGGGGATAACGCTATACACAATTTACTTTTTAATCATGTTCAAAGTCATACATTTTCGGTGACTTAAAAAAATCTAATTCTTCATTTGCATAAGGTGTTTGTTAACATTAAATCGCATACATAATGGATAAGCTTTTCCTTTTCATGTATCGACAAAAGGTATACAAATTAGGTAGCGTACGAGACAAGCCCAGGGTAAAGATGCTACCGTAGTCAGGCATGAATGCAAAGAAAAGTACGGTATCTAAATCTTCATATCAAATATTTTACAGTAAGTGATTTGTCTCACCATTTTGGGGGTAGCATTGTTTTTATCGATTGATTCATTTTCTAGGGATTAACAACATTTTGCACGTTATTTAAAGACAAAATATTTTTTAGAATATAAGAATGTTTTTTTTGAGATAATAGTGGTCTGGTGTTACTAATTAACCCATATTTGGGGGAGAAGAGGTGGATTCATACTTTTCCCAAGGGTATCTGCACATCAATGAATATAACGAACCTAATGGGAATTGGAACATGGCTCTTCGTTTAACAATTCTGAGCCATTATCCATCACTAGCAGCATGGCCCGGCGCTGCCCGTGCTTGATTCAAGAATCGTACGACACATACAGCAATCGCTATCACTTGACTTAAAATATTTTTGCCCTTCCTTGCCTTTAAAGGAGTGCCCTTTGCGGTGCTGATGTTGCTACATGACTTACTTCTTGCTTATCTCACACTGCCAATTTTTTCTAAGCTCTATACTAAACATTAAATCTGTTACGAAAAAAGAACTAAACAAAATAAACACAAAACGATCAGCTTTAAAAAAGGACACGTAACTGGAAAAACCGAATGAAAAAAGAATGTTAACAACAAATACTTTTTCACACCCAACCCAGTTCTGCGGAATCAGAATCAACGTTGAGTTTAAGCAAGCGAATGAGCCAATTGGAGTAAAGTGCCATGCAGATTTAAATTTTTCCCACTTGTGACGAATGCAGCTATCGATTTTCTTTGCATGCTAGTTAACATTCGTGTCAGTCAGCTGTTGGCTCTCACGCTGGCCAATAGAATCTTCCTGCCTATTCGTGGCAGCCAGCTATTGGCTCTCACTCTGGCCAGTACAAAATGGCCGCAAACTACATGAAAACTGCCGTAGAAGCATGAAAAAATCAATTATTTCCACTATCGATGGGAGTTGGGAAATGCAAAGTCGGTCTTGGCCTTTCCCGCTAACTTGGAGCATGTGCATGTAAATTTTGGTGCAAATCCGTCGAAAATTGCGGCCGTGCATTCGTCACACACACACACACACACACACACACACACACACACACACACACACACACACAAACACACATCCTGCCTTTTATAGATAGAGATATCACCAACACATCCCAGCTTGCATCACCTAGTATTCCGAAGCGGTCACCCATCTAAGTACTGACCGGGCTCGACGTTGGTTAACTACAGCAATAGTACGCGAATCGGTGCTTCAACATCATATTGCTGTAAGCCATCCTACTCGCACGTCCAAGCTTACAGCACCTGGTATTCTTAAGCTGTCAATCATCTAGATACTGAGCAGGCATAACTCCGTATCGCGTACCATCGTACAGGAACGGGTATTTCAACGTGATGCGGCAGTTAGTTATTTGCTATAAATTCTCTCCAGGATGATGCCCAGTACTGCAATATTTGAGAACTGTAGGCTTACTAGTCCTTCTCAGATGCTGGGGTCGACTTATGCACGAACTATATGAAAAGAATCAGGTTTTTCAAAAACATTCAGAGGTCGCAGTATAGATGAAGTAGACATACACGAGTATATACGATATATATATATATATATATATATATATATATATATATATATGTGCGTTAAAATATAAAATGATTTGAATTTGCTTTTGTCCGTAAAGCATAATCTAAATTTGCTGGGTTGTTTAATTTTATATTAAATTTATTCGCTAAAAGACATGTTCGTTTTTGCTTTAGGAATAATCACCTTTGGTTTCGTTTGTTTTAATTTACGGCATATCAACTTCAATGGGTCATTTAATGCCGACAAGATTTTTATTGCTGGTAATATTTTTTTTTCCAAAAATGTATTGCTAGTAATATTTTTACAAAAATGGATTGCTGATATTAAAACTTATTTTTATACTTTCATAGTGTTTTGACCCCAGTTTGGGGGTTAACTATTTACCCATAGTTGGGACCCTAACAGGTGCTACCACCCTGTGTCAGGGTAAACCTGGAAACACCAGCAATCAAGAGGTGGTTTCACGCTCCTCAAAATACCCTAATCAGAGGCCTTGCTGTCGGATGTAGTTTATCGTCTTACCCAGGACGCGGATGTAGTTTATCATCATACCCGGGATACGGATGTAGTTTATCGTCATATCCCGGACGGGGAGTAATCAAAATGCAAATTAAAAATCCTGTATGTGTTTGTGTGAAATGATGAAAAGAAGCAAAAACATCTCGTAACTTATAAACATTAATAAATTTCCACGTCGGAAATAAAAAAAACAAAAAAAACTGGCAATTGTAAGTTCAGTCTCCGAGTCTGCTAGTGCTGTACCCTGTCATAATAGGACGCTGGCGATTATGGCTCTCCACAATTTCCTCACTTTTGTAGCTCTTAATAACTTTTATCATTTTAGCATCTCTCACAAACCCTGCTTCGCCATCCATTCACTCAAGCTCGCCGAGTAGTTTATTGCTTGCTTACCTTCAGTCTGTCCTGTGAGTGTCGAAATTTCAGGTTCTCTTTCCTCACTAGAAATTTCAACTATCTCTTCTTGATATTAAGTATAAGTGTCCTTTTTGTAGCTCACATGTTTGGTCCATGGTACTTCTAGCACCCTTCTGCAGAACCACATTTCTGTTGCCACTTTATCTGTGAGGAGGTTCCCCGGCCTTCAATGCTGATGCTACATAACAATTCTGTACCCTTTCCTTTGTTTCTAACGATAGTATTTTCTGTTTTGGTGGTAAGAGTTATCTCCCCTGAGCTTGTAAAGCACAGTGAGACGAATCTACTCTCGTCGACAAAATAAAGGGTTCGGTTTTGATATCCTAAGTAGGTTACGGAGCATGGAGCCAAAAGCAAGACTAGGATCGAAGGGTATAATTTTAGCATTTTGGTCCGTATCGCAAGGGACATAATAATGATAATTACTCATCTAATAAAATACCAACAAAACTTCATTTGTTTTGCAAGAATCTAAGTCGTAATGCTGATCCAAATATCAAAACATACCTTACACTGCTTCTTATCTCTCTGTGTTTATGAGGTGACGTATTGTAACTATTTGCACTCTCTACATTGTTCAGACATTTGTCCCTTATCATATTCACAACATTTCGGTCGTTGTACGCTCCGGCCGACTTCATGTGATTTGAATTTCGAACCGAAACCTTTATTTCGTTCACCGGGGAAGATTGTTCTAGTTCCACGTGTCATGCCTCGTCCGGATATCTCGGTTTCAGTTATTTTCCCTTTAGTAACTCAACTCTCCAAGATTTTGTTCACTTCTGCTGTAGCCAGTTATTGAACTCACAACTCTTTGGGTCAAGCCACTGGATTACTTCAGCCAACGCTTTTATCCACTGGTCCTTGATGAAATAAAGGGTTCTATTAAAAAATTCCCATCACCTGATAAGGCCGGAGCGTACAACGGCCGAAACGACGTGAATATGACAACGAAGATGCGGACAACGATCCGAAAAATGTAAATAGTTTAAATAAAGTTCTCTTTGCTTATTTTTAACAAATATAAACTGTCAACAATTTATTTGGCTTATTCGGGAACGAAAATGGTTTATTTTTGGTACTAACAGAAACAACGTGACTTGAGGACTTTCAGTAGTAGCAACAACTAAAAAGAATAGCTAATATAACTCAAATAATGACATAATGACGATGTTGACATTCGACACTACTTCAAGTAAAAGGTTAAGAAATAAACTCCCATCAATACTGGAAAGATTGATAACAGTGGAATTGAGAAACCAATTTTCCAGAAAGATTGATTCAATAGAAAAATTTTATATATTTCAATCGACAATAACACGGATCGAATGTTTCCTTATAAGGAAATCACTAATGTTACCATGGCCGTTACCAATGAATAAAGTATTTACGGGTCAATTTTAATTGACTTATTTTGAATTAAAAAGTATGGGCCTTATCCGTAGTAAAACTATAAGATATAAAAGGAAAATCGTCAAATTTTGGTGGTAAAAACTACTAATCCGCTTCATATTTTAAGTTGAATGAAAATCCGATAATCAGATTATGTTACTAAGGGACACAAGTGAAAATTGTATTTGAACTCAAAAGATTTTTTCATTGCTTGATTTGTGGTTTGTTATCATTGTTGTCAATAATATTCTGTTTCTTTCTTTCTTTCTTTCTTTCTTTTTTCGTCATTTTTAACGTTTCATTTTTTTTTCTATGCCATTTCCAACTTTTCTTTTTTTTTTTTAATGGGTGAACAATTTAATAAACCTCGACCTAAAATATTTTGTTTGGTGGGTAGTTTGTTTAGTCTTTAATTGTTTCTAAGGTGGAATAGAAAGGAAAGAAGAAAGAAAGAAAAGATCAAAAGAAAGAAAGAAGAGCAAAAAAGCAAAAATAAGAAAGAAAGAAAGAAAAGAAAGAAAGAAAGAAAGAAAGAAAGAAAGAAAAAGTGTAAAAAAAGCAAAAGTAAGAAAGAAAGAAAAGAAAAGAAAGAAAGAAAGAGAGAACGAAAGAAAGAAAAAAGAAGCGGAAAAGCAAAAGGAAGAAAACGGCAAAAGAAAGAAAGAAACGAGCCAAAAGAAATGAGCAAAAGAAAGAAGTTAAGAAAGAAAGAGAAGAGTAAAAGAAAGAAAGAAAGGAGCAAAAGAAAGATTGAAAGAAAGGAAGAAAGAAAGAAAGAAAAAATAAAGAAAAGACCAAAAGAAAGTAAGAAAGAAAGAAGCAAAATAGCAAAAACAAGAAAGAAAAGACCAAAAGAAAGAAAGAAAGAAAGAAAGAAAAGAAAAAAGAAAAGAGCAATAGAAAGAAAGAAAGAAAGAAAGAAAGAAAGAAAGAAAAGAAAAAAAGAAAAGACTAAAAGAAAGAAAGAAAGAAAGAAAGAAAAGAAAAAAGAAAAGACCAAAAGAAAGAAAGAAAGAAAGAAAGAAAGAAAGAAAGAAAAAAGAAAAGAGCAATAGAAAGAAAGAAAGAAAGAAAGAAAAGAAAAGAAAAGACTAAAAGAAAGAAAGAAAGAAAGAAAGAAAAGAAAAAAGAAAAGACCAAAAGAAAGAAAGAAAGAAAGAAAAGAAAAGAAAAAAGAAAAGACCAAAAGAAAGAAAGAAAGAAAGAAAGAAAGAAAAGAAAAAAGAAAAGACCAAAAGAAAGAAAGAAAGAAAGAAAGAAAGAAAGAAAAGAAAAAAGAAAAGAGCAATAGAAAAAAAGTGGCAAAATAAATAAATAAATAAATAAATATTATTTCTATCTTTCTTCATCATTCCTAATCGTTTTTATGTGGCATTCCTATTTTTTTTCTTTCATTCTTTTGATTTATTCAATCGATCCATTTTTACTTACTACATAAGCCTATTTTCTTTCCTTCTTTAGTTTTCTTAATAATTACCAGTTTTTTATGTGAATTTCTTACTTTCTTTCTTTTCCTTGATTCAGTGGATACATTTTTTCTTCACTTTCTGCACAACCCTAATTATTTCTTACCATTCTTTATTTCTGTGCCATTCTCGACATTTCTTTTTTATTATCTTTCTTTCATTCTTTCTATTGTTTTCCTTCCCAAATTTCTTTATTCCCATTAACCCCGGCGTTATTTAGTTTCCTTTTTACTTTTCGTCCTTTCCATCCGGCTGCCTAAACCATTTGGATGCCTGTTAGCAACAACATAAACCTTGGCAGAAACAAGAAATGCGATGATTCTGACGAGCTTGGAACTAAGCCATCTCAAAATAATCCGCAGCAGATGTCAAATATTCCTACCATCCTGACTCAATTAGTGGATTAACATCATAGGTAAATGGGACAACAAAAGCAACAACAATGATAGTATTCACTTTGCTTAAATGCTAACACCGTTTCCCCACGACGCCAGTTTTTAGTAACTGCATTCCCATGTCAATCTGAATATCTCCCATTTTTTTTCTTACCTTTCATTTATCGAAAGCCTCATTCATCAAATCGTAATTTGACCAGAATCGTTTTCGTAATGATAACATTACTTAAATTGAGGATATTTGCTATATCGTTTGGGGTTCTGTCAAGGTTGGCTATGAGAGTAGCAGCATAAGTGCTTGATTGAAAGATTGATTAATTTACTACGGATTATCAACACTTTGCAGATTATTTAATACCAGAAAATATTTTTAGATTGTGAAACTTTTTGAGATAATAATGATTTAGTGATAAAAGTCTGACTAATTAATCCATAGCTAGGGGAGGAGAGGTGGATTCATGCCTTTCTCAAGGGTATGCGCGAGTAAGTGAATATAACGAACTAGCTGATATTGGAACTCGGCTCTCCGATTAAGAATTCCGAGCCATTATCCGTTACACCAAACGCGAATCCAGGCTTACAACACCTTATATTCACAAGCGGTAACCTCTCTAGGCACTGATGTTAGCTAACTTTGGTGATAACACGGGAACCAATGTTACAATACTATATGGCCGTAAGCCTTTCAATGTTGTGTTTAAGTTTTCACTAACTCTGTCTCTTTTCGCTATAATTGAGACATTGAGGAGAAATTTTGTCAAAATATCTCGTGCACAGAGAAGTGGGTTCATGCCTTTCGTAATATTATTAAAGTTAAACTAATATTAACAGACTTAAGTAAAATTATAACTTAAGATGTTGATCTTTTTATGCTGGGAATAACATAGATAGTCGGAAACTTATGTGACTTAGGTTCAAATTTGACCATGGTCGATTTGTTAAGGATGTGACTTCTTCATAATACTGTCAGAGGGAGACGATCTCAGAGAGCTGTACCGTTGGGAGATACTGGATAACCATACCATTGTTTGATCCAAGCTTTGTGAGTCAACTTTAACGACCTTTCTTCCTTGTCCCCTCGACCACATTATTGGCTGCTCTATTTTACTATTTTACTGCTGAAGTAGCTACATTTCTTTTTTAATAGTATCTTTTCTCGAAGTTTTCACCTGTGGAACTCTTTTCCGATTTCTTGCTTCCGTGCCACCTACGTTCTTCAAAAATTTTAATACAACGTCAATCGCCATCTCCCGTCTTCCTGAACCCTCTTCTTTTATTTTCATTTTGCCTCATTAAGATTTTCTCATTCTCTTTCACTCCCAGTAACCACTTTCATAGTAGCGTCATTATCGTCTTATTTTGGGCGAAATGTTTAAAAAAGAAATACTCAGATAGACGAAACACTTCGGGCGCCGTTAGTGTTTCCGCTACCACGAAAGTATAAGTGAATGATTTATTTTTATATCTGGGACGTTTTAAGATGTCTTATAAATCTTAAAATT